CAAAGAAACATGATCATTTCTGTGTTTTTATTCTCTATTTTAAAACATAATTCAGACAAAAAATAAAGTTTTAAAATATATAAAAACACATGTAAAAGTGGATTTTTCATCCACTTCTTTGGCATTATTTTCATTATGTATATTCAGGGACAGCTACGCCTCGCACTGACGCTCCCACCCACCCTCACACATGCACAGCGCTGCACTCCCACCCCTCAACTCCTCCTCTGTATTAGTTCCCACAGTAATCTCCCAGATCACCAAATTTTGCCTCTGACACCTCAACTCCCCGCTCTCCCTGTTCGACACTCCCAGGACGTTTCTGGACTGGACCGAGGACGGCCCCCCAGCTCGTTTCAGGTAAGAACAGAAGCAAACAGCACGGCACATCAGCAGGTTTGACACAGCAGCTGTGGATGTTTGGTTCAGCTTTGGGATTAGAAAGGTTTAAGCCTGCCATTGAAATGGGCCACGGGGTTCAGCAGAGGTCGACCTCGAGCTGGTTCAGAATCAGTTGCTACTGTTCCACTGTTACAGTTTTACTGCTTTTTAGATTGGCGTGTTTTCATGATGGGAACAGCACTTCAGCTTCTGTTTTCTCTGTTTGTTTGTTTTCACATGTTTGTCATCCAACAATACATAATTGACCATAAAAAAAAACCTTGTCCTTCAGACAATGGATTTAAGTCGGCACTTGTAATGAGGAGTTTATTACAGACAATATTTTAAATAAATGTATTTTTCAGTGAGCTTGCCTTATTTTAATGAGCACATTTTTAATAAGTCAGCATGTATATTTGGATGACTGCTCCAAACACGTCATTGTTTACATGCAAGATTTTGTAAGATTTTTCTTTAAGTTTTTGTTGCACCTCTTTTCTTTTTTTTTCTTCTTCATTTCTATCATTACATTAAACTGGATCTTGGTATTTTTCATGCTCTTAAATATTTATCTGTTTCCAGGACTGGAAAATCAGAAATGAGGAACAATATGAGACAAGATCCAGTGAAAATGCACAAGTTGTTAATCGAGCTGATGGTCCTGCTGGGGTGAGTAAGTCAAAGAGGGGCTACTTACCCACAACAAATATTCCAAGTGCTAATATATTTCCATTTTAGGTTTTAGTCCAATTCAGTGCAACTTTTATTTCTTATTGCACCAACAGTTCAGAACATCAAGCACACACAATAAATCAAAAGAAAAAAAGTGTGAAAAATCACAGGCTTTAAGCTTAAACAACAATCTATGAAATACAATAAGAAATATTTTTCTGTATACATGGTCAATGTGTGTGGAGAGCAAAGAAGCCCATGCTGTGGTGGGGAGGTCCAATGCCAGTCATGGGGTGGCACATTTGACCAATCACAATTATGGATAAATGTACTGTCAGCAGTGTATGTGTGTAAGGAAAATATGAAAGGGTTAAACACACAATATAACACAGCCAAACCAGCAGTGTGAGTGTGTTTGAGGAAAAGTGCTGTACAGTAAGTTTAAGTTATTTTATCTGTCTGTGTTTTAGAGTCATTAGTTTGAGTAACGGTGCAATCCAGAGGCCTGACTATGATGACACACCCAACCCAGAGTTCCTCAACCCGGCCTGGATGGCCAGCATCCCTGATGATCGGCTGCTGTCAGAGATCACCATGCCTGGGACACACAACACCATGGCCCTATATGGTGGTGTGTATGCAGAGTGCCAGACCTGGAGCCTGGCCTCCCAGCTCCGTGCTGGTGTTCGCTTCCTAGACATCCGTGTGCGTCATGTCAACGGAAACCTCACCATTCATCACGGGGTGTCCTACCAGCGAGCGCACTTTGGTGACGTCCTGGAGGGAGTGACTGACTTCCTGCAGGAGTATCCAACTGAGACAGTGCTAATGCGTCTAAAGGAGGAGTTCAGTGAGACGGGTGACATCTATGGTGCTGTGGTAGACTACATCAATCGCTACTCTCACTGGGACCTGCTGTGGCACAGCCGACTCGTGCCAACCATGAGTGAGGCTCGAGGGAAGATCATCATCCTGCAGAACTTCAATGGGCCAGATCTGGGGATGCGTTATGATTCAATGGACATAGCTGATGACTGGAAGGTCTGCCTACATTTTTATACTCAAACTACCTGTGATGTCAGTAGTGTTTTATATTCATTACCTTGCCTATGTTCCACGTGATCCTACTTGGTTTCTGCACTATTTTAAATTACACTTGGTGTTCCCTCCAGGTGCCCACACTGGCACATGTGCAGGAGAAATGGCAGAGTGTCTACAACCACTTGGAGGCTGCACCTTCAGGAAACAAAGCCCAGATTTTTCTCACCTACAGCAGTGGAGCCGGAGTGTTCGCGCACCCCAGGGCCGTCGCACAGCTCATCAACCCACAGCTGTACGAGTACCTGAGGGCAAAGACGGACCTGAACCAGCGCTTTGGAATCATATGCATGGACTTTCCCGCTGCCCCTATTATTCAAATGATCATTGACTTCCAATTAAAAGAGGCTTTTAAGACAGAGCAGGTCTAATAACACAATTCTTAGCCACTTAACTTCCTCACTGACAAAGTAATTAATCAAATGTTTCGGTGCTAATATCTGACCGAGCTCGACAAAAGTAATTATGATGGAAAGTTTGCCTGGGATGAAATGTCTCATTTGCGTGTCATTTGCAAAAGATTTGGGGAATAAAATAAATGCAACTCAAAAGTAAATCAGAGGTGGCGCCATGTGGAGTTTTTGACAGTAATGAACTGCTGTGAAAACTTCTGACATGTGTTGTAATTGCTGTGGGGACACTGCAGTGAACATAAACCACCAGTTATGTTCATATGTTCATATGAACATATGTTAGGTCAACATATAGTTAGGTTATATGGAAATTGGGATAAAGCTTAAACAAGCCAACTGAGTAACATTAATGTTCTTGAACTCGCAGAGTTTAACATGAGTCCAACACTTGAGCTGATATTGAGGTCTTTAGAGAAGCTTAAAACAGCCTTCTCTATGACCTCTAACCAGCACCATATTACCAGGAGTTGTTTTCATCCAGTCACATGGTGGCAGCATTGCTTTGTTAATGGTACTCCATCTTCCTCTGGCTTACTGCTTACTGTAAGGAGGGAACATCTAGCTTAACCTTCGCATCTCAGACCCACTCCAGCTGTCCAAATTTGCAGAACCTGAACCACATTTCTTAATTGAAGCTCCATTAAACAAACTCCACTGATTTTTAATCAGCAATGTTTGTTTACTACTCTTGTTTTCATGTAGAAAAGCATAGATAAAACATACTTCTGTAATAAGCATCTGGAGATCAATGCACTACATCACTTGGGTGGAGGTAGAAACAAGGAAGCCTACGGGACCCTCATTTGCTCCATTCTCATCTCTGCAAGTAAGGAGCAGTACTGCCAACTGCACTCTCTATCACCCACAATCTCAGGCTTAACGTTTGGTTCAGGGATTGAATCATGGGTAATGTAGGCTCCTGGATTTATTTGGAATTTGATCCTTTGGTCCTACAGCCTTAAAAGGGTGCACCTTGTGCAAGCCTTTGAATATTTTGTTTTGTTTAAAAAAATTAAACACTTTTTTTTTTCTAAATACTTCACCTGTATAAAAGTGCAATAATAAATTGCTGGGCTTCACCATAGGGATACCACAGGGATAAGATTCACCACAGGGATAAGAACAAATCCCCAGTTTAGCACCAGTGGTTTTAAAATGCTGCTTAAAACTCTAAACTGAAAACAAGTAGCCAGTGAGCCATAAAGATTAAACTCACTTTAGTCAACTTTTTCTAATATTCAATATTCTGTTGAAAGCTCAGAGCAAAAAGACATAAATCAACAGAATACCTTGTATTATTCAAAGACAATCTTTGTCTGGCAAATATTTTAGTGTTGGTGGCTCTGTCGTCCCAGTCTTGACACCATTTATACGATCAAGGTTACTTTATTTGTCCTTCTATAAAATGATATACAACAAAATTTGTTCCACTTCTGCTTAAAAAATGGTTCTCCCTGTAGTTAAAAAGTAAGAGTAATAATATAAGAGATGAATAAGAAAGAAAATAAATAACAATAAAGTAAATCTCATACAGTCTGTAATTCAAGGTGCTAACGCAGGGGGTGGGCAATTTCAGGCCTCGAGGGCCGGTGTCCTGCAGGTTTTAGATCTCACCTTGGGTCAACACACCTGAATCACATGATTAGTTCGTTACCAGGCCTCTGGAGAACTTCAGGACATGTTGAGGAGCTAATTTAGCCATTTAAATCAGCTGTGTTGGTTCAAGGACACATATAAAATCTGCAGGGACACCGGCCCTTGAGGCCTGGAGTTGCCCACCCCTGTACTAACATATGGTTTTAAAGCAGCATCAGGGTGGTGACGCCCTCTGTGTTTAAAAACCTATTTAAAAGTCTGTTGCCGTGTGTTTTAAGTGTCCTGTATCATCTGCTTGAAGGCAGAAGTTTGAAGAAATGGAGGCGAGGGTGAGATGAGTCCTTAATGATGTTTGTTGCTTTCTGAAGCACAGTTTTAATGTTCAGCTTCTGTACAAAAACTGTTTGATAGTTGAAGGTGGCAGTCGGTATTTATTGGCACACGAGAAAAAGCTGATAGTTATAACAGGAAAGCTGATTTTCCTGTGTGCACCACATAGCTGTCCTGTGGCTTACAATGACCTAGCCCTTGTGCTGCTTCATGATTTAACATGTACCGATTATGTCACTTCAAAATATAAAATGTAAATCATTTTATGTCTAGATAGAGATATATCTCTCTCTATCTCTAAGAAACAGTATGGTTTACAAGATCAGTGGAAGGATTTCATGTAACTAGTTTGTCTTAAAGAAATCTTAACAAACTGCACGAAACCGTGTCAGATAACAGAGGCTGATTTTTATCATTATTTCCTCTTAGTGAGACAGTGTTGCAACAGTCGCTGAAAGGCTCGAACGTGTATGTCTTAACATCCTGCACTTTGCTAAGAAGTAGCTAACTGCAACTCGTGTGTAGTTCTTCTCTTATTTTCTGAATACTTGAAGATTAAAAAGGCTCCACTCACAACTGGACAGGTACCGTAAAGCTCTGCTTCTGCTTCCTCCTCATGTTTTCGCTGTGACAATATCTACTGACTGTAGATATTAACCTCTCTCCACAGATGGATCTAAAGCCTCAAACTGCCTCACAAGTCACAGGAATTGGTTAGATTAGTTTCTGCATCTCATTTTTGTCTCACTTTTTCATAATTTTACCTGTTTTACTGTTAAACCAGTCCTTTACCCTCTTTCTCTTCCTTTTTTGTTTTTGCAGTGGTGGTGAACATTATATGGTGGATGGTAATGATAGCAGCCATTGGACTGGGTGGGTTTACTAATTTTACAGCTTTAGTTATCCAGTTAGTGAAAACAGCACCTTTAGCATTTCGCCTATGATTGATGATGATCTTATGTGGTTGTTCTGTTGCATCACAGGGGCCACGCACCTGACAAGTTGTACCATACAGCCCCACATCCCCATTTACCTGATAGTGCTGGGGGCAAACAGCATCCTCTCACTGACTCTGACCTACACCAGCAGCGCCTTTGATGATGGAGCGATCCACGTCCTGTCCACAGCCTGTATGACAGTTCTTCACATCTTCAGTTTTGCCTGGTTCATAGCAGGTGTGAGAAAAAAACTTTCTGCACTCTTCATTTTGCATGAAATTAGACATAAAACTCACGTGCACTTACTGGCCAGTTTATTAGATACAACTTTTTAACTGCTTGTTATCACAAATATCTAATCAGCCAATCATATGGCTGCAACTCAGTGCACTCAGAAATGTAGACATGGTTAAAACATCCTGGCAAAAATCAAACTGAGCATCAGAATGAGGAAGTAAGGTGATTTTAAGTGACTTTGAATACAGCATGGTTGTTGGTGCCAGGCGTGCTGGTCTTTTGAGTATTTCTAGGGATTACAGAAAACTATTCAAAAAGGGAAAATATCAAGTGAGCAGCAGTTCTCTGAAAAAATACCTCGTGGATCCCAGAAGTAAGGGGAAAATGACCAGACTGCTTCAAGCTTATAGGAAAGCAACAGTAACTCGGATAACCATTAGTTAAAAACAAGTTATGCAGAAGAGCATCTTTGAATGTCAAACCTACAACAGCAGAAAACCACACCGGATGCCACTCCTGTCAGCTAAGAACAGGAACTCAAATGGATAAATATTGCCTGGCATCACGAGCCTTGATTTCTACTAATCAAGACTTTGTAATGGTGTAGGGGACATTTTACTACTTAATACAAACTGAGGATGTCCTTTCCTTCTATGACCACATTGTTTGTGTCATAATAATGTGTCCAATGAGTGCATCTATAGTAAAATTGTTAATGTTGGAAATGGAAGTATTTAATCTTATTGGCATTGAGCAGACAAAAAGAAACTTAGGAATTGCTGCATTCACAACCTGGTAATGCCACACATATACTTACACCCTTCCTTATTAGATATCAGAGACCAGTGCACACGATGTGTGGTTTTCAAGGCTCAGTGAATCTATATTTGTGGTGAAAATAAGAAACCACTCTGTCTTGCAAACACATCCATCAGTAACAGTCCAACAATTTCCCCCCCCCTTTCCCTTTTTTTTTTTTTTTTTTTTACATTTTGCTTCATGATGCTTAGTTAAAGGATCGTGTAAAATGTTTTTGCAACTTTTACTGAGTTGTGGATCAGTTTGAAAAAATGGTGACGTAATTGTGTGTAACGAATCAGCACATAGTATCTTCCATGGTCAAGAAACAGATGACAGTGGGTTATTTGTCTTTGCCAATCAAATCTGACCAAACCACAGCCTTTAAAAACACAGTGAATTAGTTCAAATTGTTGCTGCTGCGACCTTTAAAGTGAATTCATTGTTAAGGTTTCACTTAGAACTGAAGACGTGTTTCCCCCTGTGTGTTTGTCTTCACCTTACAGGCAGCAGCTGGATTTATTCTGTCTATCCTCCAAACTACTTACCTGGAAAAGCTCCGTACTGCCACAAGGTGACCTACCAGTTTGCGTTTGTCGTCACTACACTGGTGTGGGTCGCACTGGGTCTCATTGTCTTCTGTGGTTGTTGCTTCGGCATGCTGATCTGCTGCAGGACTATGTGTGCTAGACGTCACTTGATACCCAACCGAGGCAGTTTCTATGGTGCAATAAGTGAGTCTGCTGGTGATGTGTGATTTTAAATCCCAGATTATGTCCTCGGGTATTTAAGGAAATTGTCTTTTGGCCAGTGATGCAGATTTTGATCCTCTTTCTGAGGATTGATTTTGTTTTATCACTGTGAGGGTTATTAAAGCTTTCCTCTGCAGCTGCAAACAAGAGTGTTTAAAAAAGCACATTTCCAAAAGGCTACTTGATTTTTGTTTTTCTGCAGACTTCTCCCAAATGCCATAAATAAAGGTGGCTTATTGCACCATACACCAAAAAGTTTAAGGTGTTTGCTTTATGTTGCAGCACCTTGGGTTTTTTTTTTTTTTCTTGTTTTCCACACGCTGATGAAGTCAGACCTATTAACTGCTGAAACATCACATCCCTTTTACACGCCACCACGACCACTATGAGTGTGAAACTTCCTGTTTGCACCAGAAAAAAAACTGTCAGTGACTCTGCAGTAGCATCTAACACAATGTTGATGGTACTGCTATTTTGTGTCTTTATTTTCAGCTCTGCCATGTTTCTGTGAGTCATTTTTAGTGCATTTCAGTATGGTGCACAGAGAATTAACCGAACAGTGTTGCTTGAAAATAAAAGCTCATTTTCTTTTTTTCTTTTTTTTTTTTGCATGATTTCATGGCTTTTGAAAAGGGAAAATACTCAACAATCTGTGTTATATTTCTATGTGGCATGAGATTAATATGATTTAGGTTTATGGCAAATTAGGCTGGAAAAACTTCCTCACAGGTTCAGAAGTTTTCAGAGTGTTGAGCTTAAAACTTGTGTAACTGTCATTGCATCCAGCAAAAACACACTGTGGACCCCCTTTTTTTTTTCTCTTTTTTTTTTAATACAAAAATGGAGGTCAATTACAGCGATTCGAGCTGGTGCTCCTACATACAGTATATAGGGTGTGTATGTAGAAGCAAACTATTTCTAGGTCCAGTGTGTTTTGTTTGTGGGTGTTTGCATGTATCCAGGCATCTCTGTGAATGTAGTGGCTTTATATAGTAAGTGTATTCTAAACAACTGAGAAAAGAACAACCTTGAGAATATTTTTTATTTTTATTCTTTTGCTTATGTTTTGTTAACTATCTACTGCACTGAAGTCTGTATTGCAAGAATAATATTAAACATTGTTTACAATAAAATTGAATAGCCCTTTTGTTTGGATTTAGGAGGTTTGCCTTGATGAATACAATAAAAATGCTTTTGCAAAAACCAGTCTCCTGCAGAGGGGGTGGACTCTGTCCCATTCTGAAGTTGGTCTTGGTGAGAGGTGGCAAGCTGCTGTGGGTATCTTAATATGAAGATTGGAGAATTTCCCAGAAGAGAAGGTTTACTGCCTGTGCCTTTGGGTACGGGAACCTGTGCTGACTGTTGTCTGCACTTTAGAGTTCAGTTCAGAGTACCCAGCCTTTTGGAGTCCCTTGAGGGTGCTCCACCTGTCGCCCTACTAGGAGACTTCAATGCTCATCTGGGCAATGACAGTGAGACCTGGAGCGGCATGATTGGGAGGAACGGTCTGCTTGATCTGAACCCGAGTGGTGTTCTGTTACTGGACTTCTCTGAAAAAACAGTTTGTCCATAACAATCAGCATGTTCAACCATAAGGGTGTCCATAAGTGCACATGGCATTAGGACACCGTAGGCCACAAGTCGATGATCGATTTTCTAGTAGTATCACCAGATCTGCAGCAGTATGTTCTGGACACAAGTGAAGAGAGGACCTAAGCTGATGGCTACCCGGTAGTGACTTGGATCAGGTGGCAGGTGGTGATGCTGGAAAGACCTGGTGCGCCTCAGTGTTTAGTGGCATTGTGCTGGCAGTGCAGGTGGAGTGCTGCTGACTTCAACTGAGGATATTGTAGTGCGGTGAAAGGAATATTTGGAGAAATTATTTAATCTGACTGATACATCTTCTATTTAGGAAGCATAGTCTGGGGACGAGAGGGACGACTAGTCCATCACTGGGGGTGAGGTCACTTAAGCAGATAAACGTGACAGTCGCAAAAAAAAATGTTGAGACATTTTTTAGAGTACATGTTTGAGAACAAGAATTTCCTTTGGAGACAAGAACATTTACATTCTAGATCTCCAAAAAACTTTTAAAGTTTTAAAACACATGAAAAAGTGAAAAACCTCTTTTGTTGTGTTAAATCATTATTGTGGAAAGTACAAATTAAGTAAAAACGTTACTGTTGATTAAAATGTGTTAATAATTTACAGATTAATGATTAATCTCATAAATCATGACGCATTGCTTTATCCTACATAAACTGCCTTTATAAGTATCGGTATCTGTATTGTATCTGCAATATTGGCAATGCACTTACTTGGTATCGATACAGCACTAGCAGGCGATCCTGAGGCGACCTCTAAAAAGGGAGCCGCTGAACGAACAGATTGCCCTTTAATATTGCCTGATTAAATGATTGCCTGCAAAATGTTCAGTCTTTACACGTTAAAATAAAAATATAATGAATCATATGACGAATATTTGTGTTATTAGCTTTATTGCGTTCTATCCATATTTACCTTTAAGTTTTTATTTTCTTTTTTGAGTTTGAGGTATTTTAAGTCAGGCTTTTTTCTCGTCCTCTGTGCAGCTGGTGGGGTCCTCCTACGCCACACAACAAGCGACGCTGTCAGGCATGCTGTAGATAGGCTAGAGGTGAATTTACAGAGACCGGAGGTAAACTGATGGTAAACTGCTGCAGGAAGACTTACCTCTGATTTGTGGGAGCATGTGGAGCCGCCTCGTCCTCCAGGCTCTGCTCGGCCAGCCTGCCGCCAGGAGTTTCTCTCTGACTGCTGCTCAGGTCGGCGTTTCCAGGGGCTCTGCGCTCTCCTGCACTACCGCAAATCTCTGTGCTCTAGCCCGCACAGTGCATCCACTGTGCTAAAGCACAAAGATTTGTAGTCTCTACCAGGTTGTTTAGATTTTGTATAACAAAGTTGACACCAACTACTTTTAGTTAGCTTATAATAAACTGGGTTGAGAGATACCGATAAAATAAATGCAATTTTATACAGAAATCCCACACTAAGCACGACTCTCATAGAGGTTTAAGTCTGAAGTGCTATTGTGGTAGAGGCAATTAAATTATCTAGAAACCTGCTTGTGCTAGATCCGTCAATTTGTTAAGGTTATACAGACTCCAAGAAGCAAAGATGCTAAAAACCATCTAAACACCCACCTACGTGCCTTGAATGTACTTTATTTGAGAGATTTAGCACAGTGCCCATTAATACGCGTGTCTTTCTTCTGCACTATTTTCAGGTAGATCTTTGATGGACAGAGGGTTAATTTCTTGTTGTTAAAAATATTTACATAAAAATATCCTCAGGATGTACAAATTACAGTTATTATTAGTTGGCTCACTTATTTTGTGGGTGGATGTGACAATTGGAAGGTTGGTGGTTGATGTAAGGAGCTTGGAAAGAAAAGCATCTGGACTTCTTAAAGTTTCTTGAAGTCCAGACGCTTTTCTTTCCAGGTTCCTTAGACTATGATGACCTGGATGACTGAGAACTTTCACAGTCATGTTGGAGGTTGATCCTTGGCTCCTCTAATCTTCATGTTGAAGTATCATTGGGCAAGATTACCTGAGGGATAAAGCAATATATATGTATGAATGCATATTTAACAACCTTGGTATCACAGAAGCTAGAGTCCACTTTCAAAATGTGTAAAGTCACGTGTGGTTGCTTGATGTTTCTGCAGAACACAGTCGTGGTGGAGCGATGGTGGCAAGTGCCCTTGTCCAAAGTAGGGAGTCCACCGAGGCTTCACCCTCGAAGACACAGAATCTACAAGCTGGTCGAGGATACCAAGCATGCTCCTAAGGAGAAGATGGAGCTCATCCTGACTCAGACGGTACCAAGTGAGTATCACAAGGAAGTTTAAACTAGTCACGATGTGTTTTCTAAAATTCTTTGTAATATGAAAACATCTTTTTGTTTTGTTTTTTTTTTGTGACAGAGCTCGGCGGGCGAGGAGACACCGTGTTTGTAAGAAAGTCTGTTGGACGAAACAAGCTGCTGCCTCAAGGCCTCGCAGTGTATCCATCACCAGATAACAAACAGATGTTTGCAGAAGAGCTACGTGTGTGTACTCCATTTATATTCCATCATATATTTCAAATGTATTAAAGAGCAGTACTCAACATCACCTTTGTTTGTTTTTGTTTACACAGCTTTTGCGTGAGGGGAAAGCAGGAGACAGAATCCAAACCCGCACAGGACAACTGGTAAGTTTCATGTCAGGCACTTTTGCTCAGTACAACAAATAGTTTTAAAACAAAGATTTTAACAGGGGTTTCTTTCTGTTTTCAGACTGTGGAGCTCCTGAAATGCTCCAAGCTAAAGATAAACAGAATGCCCTCCGAGGAGTTTCAGCTCAATAAAGAAGTAGTCTGCAGACAGTTTGCTAAGAAGGTGTGATGCCTTTGACTCAGTTTTTATCCATGTTTCTAATTAATTCTGTTAACCAGATAAGATATTCATATTGCTTTTGTTCCCGTAGTTGGGGATAGTGGTGCCATCTCATGCACTGAGTCTTCCATTTGAACCTATTAAGGATGTAGGTGACTACTGGTGCGATGTCACGGTAAGATAAATTATATCAGTGCATCTCGTGGGCAACCATTTGCACCAAGTGTAGCTTCGTACTGTGTCTTTGCAGCAGAAAGAAGTTGTAGTTACTCCATGTAAGCTCCATGCTGCAAAAAAAACAATTGTTTTCCTATTATTCTTATAATAAATTAACCCTTAGTTATTCATTATTTATTTATTTTTTGGACTGCTGTTTTACCAGATAACACACTGCTCATGTTTCTATGTTATTTCTTTCAGGTTAATGGCTTGGACATTGTTCGCGTTCCCTTATCTCTGTTCCCATACGAGGATCCGTCTGCAAGCTCTCAGCGTCAGTTGAAAGCCCAAAAGCGGCAGCAGGCAGCTGCAGCTGATTCAGAAGCTGCTGATGAGGAGGGCGCCGTTTTAAAGGCAGTTTCTGACGCAGCGGCAGAGGATGGTGAAGAGCCTGCAGGATCCACTGCCGCAGCTACACAGACAACGGCAGACACAACAGCACCACCAAGTGGAAGCCTGAAAAAAGATTAAAGGACTCAAAATGTGGATGATGTTTGGCTGTAATGCACATGTGTGCATAGCAACAGCTGTCTGTGTGTCTATTAAAATTGCTCAGTGTCACATTCTGATTATTTTGAACAGTGTTAAAATAGCCGTCCATCTTGTACTGCTTATCTGGGTCCTGGTTGTCGGGGCAGCAGTCAGATACCAACACTCCTCCCTCTCCCCATCCACTTCCCAGGGACACTGAGTGCTTCCCAAACCAGCTAGAGGTATAATCTCTCTCCGGTGTGTCCAATGTCTGACACAGGGTCACCTCCTGCCCAGGAGGAAGTATACTGGCAGTGTGGAGGTGTAGCATCTCCACTATCGAGTCCTCCCAAATGACCAGGCTCCTTAAATCTAAGGGAGAGTCCACACACTTTAAAGCACAATATTTATAGCAGTTTTTAAAATCAGTTTTCAGGATGAGAATAAATAACACAAAACTGGTAAAGAGCCATAAGGATCAGCAGCTACACAGGAAACCTTTGAGTGGGAAAGTTTTTTACTGTATGCAGTATGAGTATTATTGTGATAGTAGCAATAATGAAAACTGCCCATAGACATACAAAGTGTAAGCAGTCAGGAAAATCAAAAGTTTATTGATCAATTTTAACTCGACAATGCACAAAAGTAAATGGTAAACCAAAAACAAACAAATTATTCCGAGGAATGCTGTTTAATGTCATGTTAGTGGAGTGCCAATACAGTTGTGTGGTTTGCAAGTCGTTGCATGAGATCTGCTGAAATCAAAGCTCTGCAATTTATTTTCCCGTCTCATCGGCGTAAGGATATACGAGCAGCTTGTCAGCTTCTTTCTTCTGCTCGTGTTTAGAATTTAGCTGTAGTATTTGAGGCAGATCAGATTGTGTAATTGTTTCTGATAAGTTGTTTTCTGATAAGAGTTCACATTTAAAGTTTGACAACGCAAGATGTATGAAATGTATTGCATTTAGAGGAAAACTGGCTCAGGTTTGAACACTTCTGCTGTCGGGACAAAGAACAGAGGACTCGTGGAGGCTTGACTATTGCTTTGGTAAAGACAAAATGTAGTTACATAGAGTCTGGAGATATAAAAAGCATATTTTTACTGCTTTCCATCTGAGAAAGTTGAACAAATTACTGAATTTCCCCCCAAAATTTGAAGTTTAAAAAGAAGAAAAAAAATACATATAAACTGTTAAAAAATGAATGTAATCTCCATTTTTAAGGTGGGTGTTTTGCTTTTAGCACCGCCCACCAGATGCTGCTACCATGTTAAAAATCATATTGATTTATAGTCTTCAATGTTTCCTCAGAGCAAGAAGACAATGACGTTCATGTTTGGTTCTCTGGTCTTTTTCAGTTTTCCAGTGGAAGAAAACGAAACACACATTAAAAAATAAGAAAAATCAAACTTTTACAAACAAAAGTAGGTATCATAGTTATATAACAGCAAACTTCTTATTACTAATGAGCAACTGCAGCAAGTACATGTTTATCAGAAAACAGTCGATCCTGTGTGCAGATATGTAACACGTCACAGCTTTCCAGTGACTCCAGCTTGTTTAAAATGAATAACATCCAGATTTCATTAATAACTTGCATCATTCCCAGAGAACCAAACCTTTGTTTCTGTAGATCACAAAGAAGTACAACATGAACAGGAAGCATAAACATTCAAAGGAAAAACATTTAGAATAATGGCCACTTCAGAGTCACTTTACATCTGTTCTGCCAATGACTGAGCAAAAGTACCTTAAAAATACTGTTACATAAGTATAGTGCCTCTATGTAATATAAATGACAGTGAATGTGTAGTGTAGCGGTTGTGGCTGGATCTTAGAGATAAGAATAACACCTGGTCAAACAACAGAACTACTGAATATTAACAGGTCAACACAAATACAGGATGGAGGGCAGGAAGGAAAATCTGTATCCAGACTGTATGCTTACTGTTTCTAAACATTTTTCCTCTTTGTGGAAGTATATTTGGAAAGCTCTACTCTAATTTCTGTATGCCACCACAGTCCACAGTCATGATGTTTAGAAGCCATATTTGGCCTGGGTCTGTCGGCGGGTTAACCTGTTTTCTGCCCAGTTGTTTTTCAGCTCCAGCTCACGTTCCTTTGCCTGTGAAACGACAGGGAAAGTAAGAAATGTTGTTTATTTGAACAGATTTCCAATAAGAAGACAAGAGATGCAGCTACGGTGAGCTAAACCATGTGGGATCAGTAAAGTATGCAAACCTACTCTGCGGGTCAGACTACAAGACAGGGAACACCTGTGCATAACAAAGCTAACACTAGCATTCTGGCAGAGATAAGGGCAACTATTTAGCTGATCCTAATCCTTTGTGCAGGCTTCTTTCTTGCAGCTTATTGTGCTAATCACTGGCACACTGCAGCTGACAACTAGGCTTTAGGTTAGCTCTGTACAAACAGGCCACCAAGCAGAAGTATTACGTGTCTACACATGCCGCACAGAGTGCAGATTTCCACTCTGTCTCACTTTCAAAACAAGTAGAAAAATCATCTGTGAAGTTGGACTGCGGCTACAAAGTCTTGAATGAAATTTACATCATACAAATGCACAATGTGCATTTTAACAGCACCCACCTGGTGGATGAGATAAGTTATCTGATGCTTGCGTCGCTGCTGTCCTGTAGGTTGTTCTCCTCTTTTCTGTGGAAAGGTAAAGAAAAGCGGGTGTTACAAAAAAAAATGAAAGAAAATATTCCATCTTAAAATCATCAACATTTTAGTGAGAGGAACATAGGACAATCTGTTGCAAAAACAAAAGAGGAAGCGAGCCGATCGGGTCACCTTGCTAAAGGACTGCCGATGCTGCTTCTCTTCGGTCATGCTCTTGGTCATCCACTGCTGGTTGCCGCTCAGCTGGTCGTCGCCTTTGATCTCCAGAAACTTCACCTCCTCTTTGCCCCTGTTTCTTTTCCCCTGCAGCCGCATGAACTGCAGGACAAAGAAAATACCAGTTAACCAAAACCTCTTCTTAATTATGAGCCTCTAGTTGAGGACAAAACAATGATAACACCATAGAGCACAGGTACAAAAATCAGTCTATGTAAATAACAGAATTTGCTCTGATAACAAATGAGAAAAATGAGGCACACAAGTAGCATAGTTCTTACCGCTTCATCATCAAACATGGCTGAGTTGCCGGGCTCTTCAGCCTCTGCTATTCCCGGGTTGGGATCTTGGTAATATGGCTCATTGTAGTATCCCTGTTCAAGCAAAAAGACATCGGATAACAATATAATTCATTCATGTTAGCTACATTGTGACTCTTGTAATTGAGAGTCTGACACAGCATTCATACTTTAAAAGATATCTTTATCTTAACTGGAAAACACTGAAATGCAGGCTTGTCTGAACTAACATGATTTATGACTTATTAGGATAAGCTGGCATCATCTAATTGAACATAATGACTCAAGTTAACAGCATGAATCTGATACATATGTACAGTATAAAGTCATTATTACCGGAGGAAAAGCCTCTGGGCCCGCTATGGGTTGTTCATATTCATTATATTGACCTCCCCATGCGCCACTTGTCTCATGTTTTCCCCCAAAGTCGAGAGGGGCATCTGACTGCCCCGGTTCATCAGGAGCTGCAAAAGGAAGGGGCTCTGCAAGGGCTCCTGGCTCAGGGTCCAAGCTGGGGACGACTGCAGGTAGAGGTTGAGAGCTCTCGCCTAGAGAAAAGTAGTTCTGTGGGGTTATGTCCTCTTCATTATCCTGGTCATCTGAAGCTATCTGTCTAGCCAGCTGGAGGGCAGCTGATTTTGCTGCAGCTTTGATGGCGGAGGGAGACGCACTAGAACCAAGACCATGCGCAGGGGTTCCAGGTTTGGGTGCTTTCGGTTCTTGCCGTTTAGTTAGCGAATGAGGGATCAGAGGTCTGTCCGTCTCCTTCACTGTCAGGTTTTTGGGTTGTGGCAGAATGGAGGACAAGCCTGTACCTGCACCCTGACAGAGAAAGGAGATATGGGTTGAAAGAGAGAGGAAATGGCAGCTCATATGAGAATGTTGTTACACTATGAAATCTGAGGAAAATAAGATATTCTTTGTCGCTGGTTCCTACTTTTTTTAAATGTAATTTTAACCTCAATCAACGAAAGAAACAATGAGAAGAGTGAAGTGGCAGACCTACATCTAAGCTAGAAATCATATAACGTGTATTTACATGCGAACCACTGTGCAAGCCAGGTTAATCTGCAGTATTTTATAACAAATAAGCATTTAGATTTTGTGTACACAAGCCTATAACATGTTTACGAGCTCATTACACTGAGGTAACATTTTATTCAAGAAACAGCATAGGGACCTTTCCCCAACACCAACATTGGTGCCTCACTGGTATATATGTATGTTGGACTATATCAATGCCTGTTTTGTATTTTTACTATCTACTACCATTTTATCTAATTCAGAAATACATTTATTCCACATTCCCACAAGGTTGATTGTGTTCATGTGACGAAAGTTTTCTCCCATTGAAAACGCTACGTCCAGATGAACACAATCAACCTTTTGGGAATGTGGAATAAACTTCACATAACTGCATGTGTCTGATTTCCTTACCTGGTTTTGTAGTTTCTTCGTTGCTGGTTCGTCATCATCTGAGTCTGACTATGAACAACAGGGTTACAGATGATGAATTAAAATCTTATTTTGTGCAAGAGGTATGAGCAAACAGCTTGAAGTAGCTCAGTACTCACATCCTGCCTCTGGATCTGCGGCACGGTGATCTTGACGGGCTCTGTCCGTTTCCTTGGCTTGGGTAGGCTGGAGAATAAGCTTCCCTTAGGTGGCTGAGGATCTGGATCATCGGCTGATGAGCTATCCTCTACTGCAGTGATCAATGCTGTCTTCTTGGCTGGCCCTTCGGTCCCTCCTGCCGATACCGGTTTTTTAGGAGCAGGCAGGAGTGAGAAAAGCCCTCCTGCGCTGGGTTTGCTCCCCGGCACGGCAGAGGTGGAGGTTTCCTCTGAGTCACTCTCATCACTGCTGCCATAGGCGACTAAAGACATGTTTGCTAATGTTATTAAAGATGAGCAATCTGCAGAAACTCGTGGACATGGATAACTTCTTCTCCTTGATCGCAAGAAGCCGTACTCACACTGGCTTATCCGACGAACTGACCTCTGTCAAAAGGTAAGGGAATCTCTGATCGCTAAAGCTGCGATGATAACGACATGAAGCCGAGCGAAGCTGTAGTAGAATATAGCGCAGGGAGTTAAAAGGGGTCGCCGCAATGAAACGACTGACTTAAAGCTCTGTCCAAGTTCGCAATGCTAGCCAGTGTTAGCTAGGCCACCGCAACAAACGATATCAGCTAGCTGACCGCTGTGTTCCAGAAAAAAAAAACAGCTCTCCTTAAAAGTGCTATTATAAATAAAACAGCAGTTGTGTTGTTTCACACCACAATGCGCAACTTTACTGTGTTGTTTCGCCAACAAAATAAGCTCGTTTAGTCCTTTGGCTCCATCAAAACATTCGCCTCCATCGTTCGTGATCGAAAATGCGACAACTGCGCAGCTTTTTGCGCAACACTCTTCTTCTTCTCCTCCTCCTCCTCCTCCTCCTCCTTCTTCTTTGTGTTTAACGGCGGTTGGCAACCAACGTAAAGGAGCATTACCGCCTCCTACTGTTCCGGAGTATGAGTCAGACAGTGAGCTTACAATCTGTATCCAAAAAACACAAAACCAAAAAAAAGACCCTACACTCTTTCATAAACACCTATATCCTTCAGAAACCCCACCAGTTCTCTCACCTGTGCCCTACTACCCTCCAACACACTCTTCAGATTAAATTCCCCAATTCCCCGCTCCTTCAATCTATTCTGCAGAACTTTCCTCTTCACATCATAACCCTTGCACCGCAGTATTACATGCTCTTCCTCTTCTCCGCTTCATTAATCACATTTTAAACAACTTCAGACCACTACCGCCCATATGGCTCGAATAGGGAAACAATATGATTTCGAAGCACATCTATACTTTTGATTATCAGGACTGTACCGACAACTGGCGTCAACCTTTAAAATATTCATATTTTTTGCTTTAGAGTTGAAGTAAACTGTTCTGCTTCAGTAATTTTAAATGTATACATACTTAGAGCAGCAAAATTATACAGAAATCATAAAAAGTGAAGACTTGAGCATTTATACATGTTGTCCTCTTTTACTCTTGCCCTTCTGAAGAAAATGCCAAAACAGTCTTTAAACAATAAAGGTGAAAAAAAGAAAGAAAAGAAAATCAGTGACCTCAGATAAGATTCATGGGTGTAGAGAAGGATGATAGACAGGAGGCTAGTGTGACAGAGGAAGATAGATTGAGACAGAGGCGACCCTCGAAAGGGAGCAACCAAAACAAGACAAAGAAGAACAAGCCACAGTAATGTTATTGTTTATTTCGATTTTATTCATGAACTGACACTTTATGACAGGCAAACTAGGCAAAAGCTCATGAAATGCAGTATATATATATTAACACACCTGGAGTAAAAATAGGTGAGTGGAGGAGAAATGCTCAATGTGCAGCCTCTCCAGCTCCAGGGTTAGCTGGAGAGGCTAACCCTGGAGCTGGGTTAGCCTGGAGAGGCTAACCCAGCTCCAGGGTTAGTGACAATTGTCATTGTCTACCCATGCACATCACAAAATTGCAGCAAACTGTGTACATAATAATATTCACATCATCAAATGGGTGATTAATTGATTGTCATGTGGTATGGTCTAAGCCTATCAAAGAACTGGATGAGAAATATCACGTTAGCTAGAAGTCAGAAACAGGATTTAAACCTTTAAGCTTCAATTAAAATGTGACAGTGGAGCTGTCTGCTTGTTGAAGTAACTGAAAGAGTTTTTCCTTTCAGACTTTTGCACTACAGGAACTTTAGTCATATTAAATTTGAACACTGTGGTATGTTCACAGGACTTTAATCTCTCTTTACATTTTTTGGTTAATCTAAGATGTGCTGTAGTATGAACCACAGTTGTGCTGAATAAGACCTTCACAGGATCACCAGTGTGACCACCAAGGCCAGCATTACACAAGTGTGAGATAAACATCTGCCATCAACGATGATAAGATTGCACAGGCTCTTGGTCTTACCCAGTGGAAGGATTTGAAAGAAACTGTATTAGAATTTAGAGCCTGTCAGAGTGCCTGTGTTATCTGATTTAGCAAAAGTTTGTAAAATGTCCTGGTTACTTTAAGCTTTTGTTAAAGCCCACTTGTTAAAAATCACAGTCCTAGTGGGTGTCTTGTTTTTCGAAAGCCAAAACCTCCTTGGTGGACAATCGAAAATGTCAATACATAGGAAACCCCCTGAATCTGGTTGATTAAGAAAAATAACTAAGTTACCCATCATTACTAATTATCTTGGACATTTGTACTTGTTTTTAACCAGATATTTAACTCTTAGTTAAGTTCCCTATTAAATCACCTCAGGTTGTAAACACATTATAAGCATGGCCCTTTTAAAAACCTTTTGGTGAAGTCTGAATTGTAGTCTCAGATTTCCACCCAGTATAGGTGCTGCTATAGCCCATCTGCTTTAAGGTTGCTGTCCATTCAGAGATGCTCTTCTGCATACCTTGGCTGTAACAAGTAGTTATTTGAGTTTCTATTGCAATCAGCTGAAAGCATTTCTATCCAGAGAAGCGCCATTCACTGGATATTTGTTCTCTTTCAGACCATTGTCTGTAAACCATAGAGATGTTTGTATAGGAAAATTGCAGGATATCAGCTTTTTCTGAAATATTCAGACAAGCCCTTCTTCTTTTGGCTGCTCCCTTTGGGTTCTCACAGCTGATCACCTGTCTCCTTCTCACCCTGTTTCTTGTATCCTCTTGTATGTCCTCCTTCACTACATCAGTGAAGCTCCTCCGAGGTGTCCCTCTTTTCCTCCTGCATGGCAGCTCCAAATTCCAAATGTTTAGTCCAGTATATCTAGCAACCCTCATCTTCACATGTGCAAACCATCTCACGCTTGCTTCTCTAACTTTGTCTCCAAAATGCTCAACATGAGCTGTCCCTCTGATGTGTTGAGCTCCTCCAGCTCAGCTTCTTGTCTTTTAGTCAGCTGTTGCTGTTATGTGATTGGCTGATTAAATATCTGCGCTAACGAGCAGCTGTACCTAATAAAGTGGTCGGTGTTGCTTTTAGGTGAGTTAATTACTGTGGTGCTTCGGTCAGCAGGGGCGCTGTGCCGCTTCAGGTACAGGGGGCGCGTCTGCAAGGGGAAGCGGGTTTCAATTTCAAACCCAAATAGTCCGAGGGACGAGCCAGCGGCTTGTGGGAAAGCGCTAATACGAGATAGTTACACTACCGCGTTTAGTCATAGCAACTGTAACACTATTCAGACCACATCTGTATATTTGCCCCACGTCGTGGTAAAAGTGCGTTACCCGCCGTGTCTCCGCTCCAGTTTTCCGCGCCTGGGGTTGATTTTTATTCTGGATAACAAACCGTCGCCTGCCTGGCTTGCTTGCTGCAGGTGTTTTTGACGACTACGGATAGTTTACCACATTAGTTACTCACGCACATATTTACATCTTACATTTTCAACATGCCGAGGTCCAACAGGCAAAAGGAATACAAACCCGGAGATCTTGTGTTTGCTAAGATGAAGGGCTATCCACACTGGCCTGCAAGGGTAAGTAAGCGCTCGTCGTTGCATATCTCATTTCCAGCGTAGGGGTTTGGTTTTCATCTCGTTGCGCCTTAGCCGCTCGGCTCCAATCACTTGTTTACCTGCGAGGCCTGTAACAGCCGCTAGCTGCACGAGTTAGCCTAGCGCGGCGGTGCCGACCATCCACATACATACAGCTAGCCTACTGTAAACCACTGCGAATTTCTTTCTGGAGATTCATCGCAGAGTAGACACCTCTTTAACCTCCCGGGCTAACAAAATATTAATGTTTTTGCCAGTTGCTCTTTGCCGCCTTTTGTGTGCTGGTCTTTTTCGTCCCTAGGGGCCTTGTAAGGCTAACTTTGAGCTGTAACGGTTAAAACGAGCACTGTGGTAACACAGCATTGATTACTAGTTAACGGTCATGTCGTACGCAGCGTTAACGTGTGCTTCGCTGCAAAGATGGGCTGCTACTAAGCCACTTTGTGAGTTAGCAGCTCGCTAAATATAAGTTCAAACCGCCCCCCTTTCTTTTTAACTGTTGCTTTACAGACTAATGGCTACTTGTGAAGCCAAATGCTGTGGTACTTTGTAAACACGCCTGCCCAAACGTTTCGAGAGATAGCAACTCGTAAAGTCGAAATTAGTTCCATTACGTTAAAAAAAATGCTCCATGGTAATAAAAATAGTCACGTAAGACTATAACGTAATGTCTAACTGGCACTGCGGTCAGCATTTTCCTTGTCATTCAAAAGAAAAAAGTGAGAAAATGAAGGGAAAAGCTGCTCTTGGAGCACTTTTAAGTCATGCTTTATACCAAATAAATAAAAAAGATGATTAATGCAACCAATACGTTAGTGCATGCTGCATTACAACTGAAGCAGGAAAATGTGAAAGCGAAGCAGCATGCAATCCCATCAGCCACATCTGTCTTGTGCAGTTGAAAAGGAAAACTTAGATTGCAGTTTTCAGTCAGTGTTTCTGCCCTTTGGTTTAGCAGCCATTCATAAAAGTCAACTAACTGTGTCTACCTGCTTTAAAAAAAATCACTGTTCATTCATTTAAAGAAGAAATATATAAAAAGAAATGCTCTATAATCTGCACTACACCACCTAGTATCTGTTTTGATCTCTGCATCTTCCCTCCTTTTTCTCGGTCTTATCACCCCTGCCTCATGTCAACAGGCTATAAGCCCGGCCCCACCTATCCTGACACAGTAGTCCTATCTGGGGATGCCAAAAGGCCTGTGTGGCAGAGGCAGAGCCACGCCACGATTGTCTATCATAAGAGTGATTACCTGTGCCGCTGCGTAGTGCTGTGCTAATTTAAAAGCATGTAAAAAAATTGGCATGTCCGAGCCAAACACTGTGCTGAAAGATGGTAAACAGTAAAACTTTCTCCAGGGAGTTTGTGGGTGCATCAAGATGTGTAATATGTTTCAAAAACTGCGTGTTATTTAGTACTGTACAAGAATTTGCAGGTCTTTGAACCTAATTTAGCTTTACTGTTTAAACTGTTTGTTCATAATGAATTATTTGGAGTATTTATCCAGGATCTAACCTAAAGGCATCATTTGCACAAGTTTTCCATTCTTATATACGGTGCATTATTTTATGATGAAATAAATTTGTGTAACAGTGCGCAAGTATTACTATTGTTTGTATTTGTGGTTTTATAGAGAAATGACCTAACTCTTTTGCCTATCGTTTAACTTTAGAATAATTTTAGTATTTATTAAAGTATTGAGGTGATTGATTTGGGGGGTTTTGCCAGCTTTCCTTTTAAAACAACTGTGTTGCTAATTCACAGATTGACGAGTTACCCGAAGGAGCTGTAAAGTCGCCTTCAAACAAGTACCAAGTGTTCTTTTTTGGAACACATGAGACGTGAGTATTTTTCCATTAATGTTGTCACTTTTTAATTTTTTCACGTGGATGCAAAATGGGAAGAAACTTGGATCATTTGTCAAAACTTTTTTTAAAAAAGGGGTGTGTACATATTTTATTTTAAAAAACTAATAACTGACTGTTGTAGGGCCTTCCTGGGGGCCAAGGATTTGTCCCCATATGATGAATGCAAGGAGAAGTTTGGAAAAGCAAACAAGAGGAAAGGATTTGCTGAGGGACTCTGGGAGATTGAGAACAACCCCACGGTCACGCATGAAGGCTATGAGGTAAGTAGATATGAAGGCCACTGAGGTTAGATTTACATTGTGTTGATTGATGTATCCTATTTTAGCTTGGACACCTGCTGATTTATACCAGTGATTATCACACTTCAGCTCATCTAATTGTTGCCAATTTGGTGATTATCGACTTTATAGCCCACAAATCCAGTGACTTTGTGAACAAGGGTTTGCCAGTTGTGACCTGTAAGGCGCACCTCTGTCTGCTCTGCCCAATGAGTGGCAAAGACGAGCAAGCAGCAGCACAAGTTGTGGTTTGTGGTTTGTACTGTGTGAGAGAATATTGAAAGGGGGAAATAGCATAAGCGGGATGTTTTTCTAAACTGGCTTGAAACACAAAGAGCTGGTTTGATTCTACACCACCGCCTGTTCAGCGGCCACATTTGCTGCTTTGTTTTGGTTTGCTGAATTTATTTTCAACATGTAAACACTTTCCGGAAGTAATTTGGGTAGAAGGACTGCTACAGAGTTGGGTGAGAGCAAAGATTGTTATAAGTAACTAAAGCCAAACTAAAAGTGGGTGTGAAAAAATATCATAAATGAAAAGTGAAACAATGTTATGTGCATAATTACTGAAATGGCATTGTACAGAGAAAATATCTTTTAATTTTAATCTGAAATATGTCCTCTCAGCAAGCACAAACAGGCTCTGGTGCAACTGTTCATTGATACTGGAATGTCTCAGGGATTTTTAACATTGTGTATTACTGTGTTGTTTTAAACTTATTAAATTTTACAATCTGACAAATACCCAAATACACCCATGCTATAGTAAACTAACTAAAACTAGCACTGAAACTAATAAAAAGAACTGCTAAAATTAAACAATAAAACTAAACAGCAACTAAATCTCATTGAAAATGAACTGAAACCACATTGAGTTGAAAGCACAACTGAAAATACAAATACAAAACTGTAATGACTCTGATCAGAGCACACTCTGCTGGACAAACTATGTAATGTAACCATTTATCAGTTACTCTCAAAGCTCACTCAGCTGTTTATCTGGAAGTTTAACCTCTACTACGTCACTAGTGATACTGTCACACCTTGCCATTGATGGATAGATCTAGACTTAGTTTCCCCATGTTTCACTAATGTGCAACTCTTTGCCTGTAGTCATCGAAGAAGGACAACACATCAGAAGGAGCAGGGGATACGGGCAGTTCAGAAAAAGCAGATGCAGAAGGCAGTAGTGACGAGGACGAAGGAGCCCTGGTCATTGACGAGAAAAATGAGAGGGGAGGAACCAAACGAAAAGCAGAGGAGTCCACAGAGGTGAGGTTAAACCTGACTCACAGTCCAAGTTCACTGTAAAGCTGTCTGATGCTTATCAAACTTTTAATAGACCTCTCCGAAGCGGCCAAAGGATTCAGAAGCGGAAGGTGATTCTAAAGTAGACGGCAACCAGTCTAACATGGAGCCCAAGCTCAACGATGTGGCTGGACCCAAGGCGACTGCTCCTAGTGAGTCGAAACCAGAGGCCCAGGAAAATGCAGCAGAGAAGGTAAAACCCTCTTATTCGTTTTGGTTACCTGGGAAACATCCCTTAAAATGGACTCGTGGTGAGTTTGCTTTTTCATAAGAGAGGAAAAATACATGCATATTCACATCAAAAAGTGGGGCAGGTGCTCGGCCAAGAAAATGTGTCAGCAGTTCAATTTTACCTGAACATACCTGGCCTTCCTCAGACCATCTGAATCAAAATAAATTAACAATGAAAAAACAAAGTAGAATACTAATAATTAAACAAGTTTGTCTGTTTTGGCAGGTGTTTAATGGATAAAGATAGAAACTTTTCTGAAGCCACCAAAACACCAGCAAAACCTGAAGCCATTCCACATGAAAACGTAGCTGTTTCCATGTGCTGTGGCCTTTTGTCCACATGTAAACGCTGTTATATAGCAGTAAAAGCCAGTTTCTGCAGTTATACGTGGACAAGGAAGAAGTCCACATGTGCCTTCTTCCTCATTTTACGTACTTTTGAAAGTATTGGAACACTGTTCAGGTGTTTTCAGTCCAACTGCCATTAAGTCCATAAAGTCAATGTCGTAGTCATGCAGTCTGCTTTTGCAAACATTTGTTAAAGAATGGCTCATTCTAAAGATCTCACTGAATTAGTGTGGTACTGTAATAGGATGTCACTATTTCAACAAGTCAATTTGTGAAATTTCCTCCTCTCTGGATATTCTGCAATCAACTGTAAGTTTGTATAAGTGCAAAGTGAAAGTGTTTAAGAATCACAGCAGCTAAGTCATGTGAAGATGGAGAGCAGATTGCTGAATGTGGAGTGCATAAAACGCTCTGCTGATTCAGTAACTTCAGAGATTAAACCTCCTCTGGCGTTAACATCAGCACAAAACCTGTGCACTGGGAGCTTTGTTGCCGAGAAGCTGCTGTAGGTTTACTTTTTTGGTGGAACAGCACCTTTGTCCATATAGTGTATTGTTGTTTTGGGGGTTTTTGTTTGTTTTTTAAACATGTGGACAAGTTCTGAAACTTCTGAAAATTAGTTAAGGAAACTGTCTACACACAAAAAATTATTAATATAAAAAGCCAGTGCTTACCATCATGTATTTTAAATAAACTTGATGTATCAGTAATATAAAAAGTACATTCTCCACGTCTTTTTGAATTTCAGTCGGTGGATGAAAATAAAATGAAATAAATTCTTTAATTGCTTTTCCCTCTTGTTCCCACAGCCTGCGACAGACAGCGCTTAACATCGACTCAGAAGAAAACCACGAACCTTTGACGCTTTTCTCTGGAATTTAAGCATCAACACAATTACCTGCAGGATGCCAGATTTCAGCCGTTTAATTAATAAGAGAATTTTAAAACAAACAAATAAATTTAAAAAAAAAAACAACATAAATGTTTGTATTGAGAGACAAACAAATACTCATTTGCCATTTTTTGGGATATCATATATCCCAGAAAGAAAAAGTTTGCTAATCTGATTTCAAAACAATTGAATTGAGCACTTTAGGGCTCATTTATAAATGGGATTTTGGTGTGTATATATTTTTTATTTCTAAGTGCAATTACAACGACTGAATGCTAGGTGTCAAAACATTTTTCAGCTTAGAGGGGATAAACACTGAATATATGGTAAATTTAAGAAACAAACAAACATTAAAATCACAAGGAAAAAACCATTTATTTGACAAATGCTCCCATTTGATGGTTTTAAAAAGTAGATATTGTACAGGCGATAGAACAAATTTTCATCAATGCTCTTAGCTTAAGTTCATAATTTTACTGCTTCCATTTGTATCACCTAGCTTTTCAGCCTCATTTAAATAATTTATTCATTCATTGGAAATATGATTGAATATTCAGAGGTTGTTTGTTTGTGGTTTTTTTTTTTCTGCCCCCGTTAATCATCGTCTGTTTTGCCCTACAACATTTGTTGTTTCAGTGTGTATGCTTGATTGCGAGTGACCAAAGTACGTGATTCATTTCACAGGAACCCATATGTGGAATTAATTATGTAAACCCCTTTTGAGAAAAGCAAATTTAGGATTTAAGCCCCTCTGCTACTCAGTTTAGGCTTCAGTCATGCAGGCCTAGAAACCAGTTGGCAACTATCTGGCAACCACTTAAATGTGTATTCCCAATCACTTGGTGAGAAGTTTCTGGCAGTTGCAAGGTGAAACTGATTGCAAAGAAATATACGGCGCTGCACTGAAAACCTGCTTTGCGTGCTCTCAAGTTGCTGTACTTGTGTAGAAGATGCCGACTTGTCTGCAGACATTTGTCACCTAGTTGCGTAGCTGTAGTAAAACACAACTCAGAAACTGAGACTGTTCCCCAAAGATGTTGGGTGCAAACTTGTATTCTGAAGTCGGAACGTTCTTCATTTCCACTTTGTGTCAAACTTTCAAAAAGTTTCACTTCCGCAGAACCATTAGTTGGCAAGTGTTTGCAGACAACTCGGTGTCTCCCTCCCAAACTACAGTAGACTGTGGTAACCTGCTAGTAACCAAATTAATCACAAGGAGGGATTAATTGTAATTCTAACAGATCTAGAATTAGTGACTAAGCCCATGAACACAAGAGTCAAGATAGAAAGCTGTTTTCCCAGAATTCAATAGGACCAGAAGTCTATTTATAATTACAGTTCAGATAGAATGCAGATTTAGGGCACTTCCACGTTAGCTTCATCCATGTCTTTTACTGATATCAGCTAGAAACAACCGCTCGCCAAATGGTCAGAGAGTGCACGTTTCTTCTTGGTGACCGGAGGTTGCTTGGGAGTTACCGACCTGTCCCTAGGCCTGTGTGACTGAGGCCTTACGTAAGGAGACATTCCTGAGTGATGTTCTGTCTGAGCAGAATCTTTAAACTTTAGCATCAGGTTTCCCAAACATCGATTAATTCTAGTGGCAGACTTGGAAAAAAATTTAGAAAAAAATGCTGGTGTAGGCTTAATCCTTATCTGGGGAAATTGAGCCTTAAAGGTAATGTGGAGCAGTGGTAATGACTGCAAGGGAAAGGTTGTTGGCATCACCCCTCCATGTGGAAATTATCTGGAAAAGTCTTCTAAAACTCAGTTTCATGTTGTGATTTCATGTTTAGCTTACAGTAGTTCCACTGTTGCTTGAAGCTGTTGGAAAAAAAAACCAAACTTGTATTCAGAAATGTATTCTCGACACCTTCGAAACGAGTCGCTGATCTGGACTGCACAAAGTGAGATTCATTGAAAGAAACAAGAAACTGAATATGGGTAAATACAGAGAGTTAACCATTTGTAAATCTTCAGTTTATGACTTTCTTTTCTTGGTTTCCCACCCTCTTAACTGGAATACTAATCTGTTTTACTTCAGTGGTCTTATTATTTTGACTGTGAAACAAAGTTGTGACGTGTTTTATTCCAACATCTGTTTAGACGACATGTTCAGAATATGGTGTTATTTTCCACTGTAACAGTATCCCAAGGGGTTCGGGCCCTTTCACCCACGCCATTTGGATGTCATCGTCATCGCTTCAGTGTTCTTTCATGTAATTAGCAGCGTTAGCTGATAGTTTATCACACTATGAACTTTTAAGGGAAAGCTCAGCTCTGAATGTTGTGTCGAAGATGGCCACCTTCCCATCGCCACACCGCTGATTTAAAAACCTTAAAATGGTCAAAGGCCGGATCTGGAGGTTATTCAAAAGTTTAATTTGGAATTAAAGTGTAAAACTTTGTTTTGTTGTTGTTGTTGTTTTGTCTGTTACTTTTGGAAGCTGCCATTCATCTTAATCTGCTGCTTTCTTTACTATTGTAGTTGCCAGACCATTTAATAAACATGTTGATTACAAAAAACCACTTGTTTCTGCCTTACTTAAACTAATCTAGAGTATCAGCTTTCTGGTAAGAACCTAAAACAGTCACATTAGTTGTTGTGTTTGGTTTTAACAGTCAGGATTGTCTATTTTTGAGACAGTACAGTGCCTGCTGAAAACCAAGTATTATGTGGGATCTGTTGCTCTAAATTGAGCTCAGAGCATGGGAAAGGCTACTGTAACTTTACAGAACAACTAAAACTAATTACTTGTTTCACATCTAATTATTGTCTGATTAAAAAAATGCAGGAAATTAACAATGGAACGTGTTTTGTGTCTCTATGCAGCTGCCACAAATAATTTGCTGCTGACGCAGAGCCTCTCTGTGCGGTTCGGCCCCAAAGGCTGTGGTAGCTGAACTAGTTTTGTTGTTACGTAACGTGTCCTGACAGCTCTGAGTTTGCCGTGGGGTTAGGTTAAGCACAAGTTGTTTTAACTACTGCATTAGGGCGTAGATCCAACCGTGGGCTGAAACTTATTTTGGAATGTGGTGTGATGTCTGTTCATCCGGCTCTCAAGATTAATGACTGTGTCTGTGCTTACACAGATTATCTTTATTGTCTGTCTTTGCAACCCAGAAAGGTAAAAATCTGTCTTTCGCTTGCAGCAAACATGGATGTTTACCAAAATCCAAGGTCAAGGACAAACAGTCACATGTATGATTGCAGGTTTGCATAAATGACAGCCTCCTCTCTTGTGCTTAAATATCACTCGTGCTTGTCACAGTGACATAGCAGTGAGGCTTGTAATCACGGCCTGCATCTGCCTCAGTGGGTGGCCTTGAAATTAAATATTTCCACACTGAGCCATTCAGGTTTTACACATAACCTTTTGGAATCAGCAAAAATGTAGCAGCAAATCCATACACCCACCAACCACTTCATTAGGTACACCTTGCTAGCACCAGGTAGGACCAACTTTTGCCTTCAGAGCTGCTTTAATTCTTCATGGTATTAATTCAATGAGGTGCTGGAAGCATTCCTCAGATATTTTGTCAGCTGCTCATCCATGATGTGAATCTCCCCTTCTACCAGTGTTCAGGAAAGTGGTCTGAGATTATTTGAACATTGTGAGATGGTGCATTAAGCTGCTGTGGTTGTAATAAGTGGTTATTTGAGTTACTGTTTCCCATCAGCTCAAAGCAGTATAGCTGTTCTTTTCTTTGCTGCTCACTGGATATTTTCTTGTTTCTTGTTTACAGATGGTTGTGTGTGAAAATCTCAACAGATCAGCAGCTTCTGAAATACTCAGACCAACAGTTGTGCCATGTTCAAAGTCAGGGAAATCACCTTATTTCTTCATTCTGCTGCTCAGTTTGAATTTCATCCGGTCATGTTGACCATGTCTACATGCCTAAATGAGTTGCTGCCTCATGATTGGCTGCATATCAAGCCAGGTCAAGACGACCTGTGTTAATGAACATTTGAACAGGTGCACTATTGAAGAAGCTGGTGAATGTAGATGCAGCTATAAAATGCAAGATTTGGTTTAAATATCATGAACACAGCTGAAAATGAGCAGATACAGTATGTTTTTCAATACAAAAGTAAAATATCGTTAAATTTGATCTGCTAAGAATGTTGCATAGACAAGCTTGCATGTGTAAAGGACAAAAAAATTACACACACACACACACACACACACACATATATATA